GACTTTTCTGGACTGAAGAACCGACAGAGTGGTTTAGCTTTCTTTCTCTTCTCCACCTTTTAGCTAAGGTGCAGACATGTTTTGCAGGCAGGTAGTCTTAGCCAAGATTCCCCTGGCTGGCTGTTGATGGCCTTGGGTCTTGCCTTGTCCCTCACCGTGTAGCCTCTTACCTGGCCTTGCTACCCTGTGAAGGGTGGGAAGTAATTTTAGTGCTTTGTGAGAGAGTTGTGAGAAATAGCGCCGGGATGATGAAGGTAGCGACCTTGGCACCTAGCATTCACTCAATCAATATTAGCCCTCCTTAGTCTCCGAGTTCTTCCTCAGTCTGCTCTAGCCTAAAATTCTGAGGAAAGGGCTGACAAACTCACAGATGTAATAGGCCTCAAGAGAATTTTCACGTGAGCAACTGAACACCTGCACAAAGCTCTGATTGGACTGACTCACAGAACAAAGGATAATGCAGATCAGTACACAGGACTGAGCAAATTAAAACCCAGAGGCCAGCGAGGAGCTGTGGCACATACTTTTAATTCCAGCACTCTGGAGGCAAAGGCACGAAGCACTCTATGGTTTCTAGGCCAGGGAGTCACATATAGGCTAGCCAAAGCTACATAGTGAGACTCTGTCTCAAAACAAGCAAAAAGCCAAACCAAATAACAAAACAAAAACCCCAGATACCACAGGACATGACCCAATCTAGGCTGCCTAGCCTGAAGTAGTGGTGCTATGCGCTCTCGGATGCTGCAGTGGGTTGCTAAGATTTTTACATCCTGTTAGGGACCTATTTTCTAGAACCTCGGACCCTCAAGCCCTCCGTGCAGCCTCGAACTGGAGATATTTCTCTCTGACTAGCTGTCTCCTTGCTATTTAAACATTGCAGGGCAAAGATGGACCCTAAGTTCTCTTCCCGATTGTGGCCCTTTACCCTGGTGCCTTTCCATTCCTAAGGGGCAGGATCTGAGCCTACAGCCACCTCTCTCTGTGTACCATCTACTGAGGACTCTGAGGGGACGTGCAGAGCGGCAGAAACCTGGGGCGTCCACAGTAAAGGTTTATGAGTTTGTCTGAAGCGATTGGATCAAGCATGGTAACCTGGTGTCGAGGAGACTGAGAATGATCAGGCAGGAAAGATGGCGGAAGCCATGCATGAAGTATAGAGGGCTTCCTCTTGGGAAGTGCTCATGTAGTGGGCTGGGAGCAGAACAGTTTCAATTCTCAGTAAACTGTATCTTGTTGGGTAAGCAGAGGCCAGTGGGAAACTCAGAAGCAGAAGTGAGGAAGAAATAGAGACTGTAGCATGTATGTTGTAAAGCAGTGGGGCAGGGTGGGCATGCTCGAGAGGTCATGCTTGCCACACCACAGTAGAATGTCTTTCTTGGCATGTCCCGGAAGGGCTCTGGGATAGGGTGACCATGGTGGCAAGCCTGTGAGACAACATAAGCTGTCCCAATGTTGAAGCTCCAAAGTGACTCTCGGCTGAATAGGCAAGATGCTAGGAAGCCAGGCTGACATCCCTAGCCCTGATATGTCCTCAGTGCAAGGATGAATGAGTCTGGATTTCATGGGTTAGTGAACCATGGCTGGGTGGAGACAGCTGTTCAGGCTGTGAAATGTGAAGAAGAGGCCTCTGGGGTCAGGAGACAGAAACAAGGAGAGACAGACAGAGATGGGAATGGAGAAGGATTATAGGAAGACCCAAGGTTTTGAGACCTGTTCGACTATTCTTTCTGTGGGCCCAATTATAGATTTCAATTTCATTTTAGTTTTTTTTTCCTGAAACAGGGTCTCATGTAGCCCATACTGGTGTCACACTCAATATGTAATTGAGGATAACCTTGACCCTTTGGCCCCCCATCTCCATCTGTACCTCCTGAGTGTTGTGTTTTATAAAAAGATAAGGAGAGAGAGAGTATGTTTGGTGGAGATGAGGTAAGGTGTGGGGAGAAGGGGATGCCTCTGTGGGCCCATGCTGAGGCATCCTTTCCCCCTGAGGAACCAGCCAAGATGGTATAGTATAGAACAGAATTTATTGGGGCATGAGGAGTTGAGAGAAAGGAGGGGGGGGAGAGAGGGGGAGAGAGAGAGAGAGAGAGAGAGAGAGAGAGAGGGAAATAGAGGAGTAGGCTGGCCATGAATGAGCACATGGAGAGAGAGGGGTAGGAGAGTAAGGGAGCCAGAGCAGGAGAGCAAGAGAAAGAGGAGGGGGCAAGCATCCCCTTTTATAGTGAGTCAGGTACACCTCGCTGTTGCCAGGTAACTGTGGGGCGGAGCCTATACAAAATACCAACACTGAATATTGAGATTATGGGTTTACACTGCCATGTCTGGTTTATGTGGTATTAGAGATTGAACCAAGAGCCCCCAGCATGCTAGGTGAGCACTCTACCAATGGAACTACATCGGCAGCCTAATTACACATCCGAAGCCAAACACTCTTCATTTAATTATCTAGTCCAGCTTTCCGCTTTCAGAGGGTAAGATACTGCTTTCCTATTTCACAGAGGCCTAAACAAGTTAACCAGCTTGAACAGAGGTCTGGATGGCACATACTAAAAAGCACATGAGGACTCAGGTTACTTCCTGCAGGAGTGGGTGTGGGTTGGTGGGGAGACAATCCCTACACTGCTGGATTCCAAGCCTGGCTGCTCCCCAGAGCAGAATGTTCTGGAGTTGGAACCAGAACGGGCAACTTCATTCCTGGAAATTTACCAGCTCTGGGTCCTGAGGCAAATTATTCAGCCTGTCTCCGAGTTAGTTCTATTATTGGTAAAATGGCAGAATTAGAATCCTACCTCTGTGCCTTGCTCCTGAGGATAAGATAAGGTACATGAAAAGAAACACGTACAACTGAACAGGCTTGGGAATCCAAATGCGTCAGGCATTTAAACTGTCTCTGTGGGCTCTGAGGTCTTCCTAGCTGGTTTTCTTCAAATGTGCTGCAGACATGACATCAGCTCTCCTTCCAAGCCCTGCATACCCTGACAAGCTCCTAAGCCCACTTGCTGCCCTCTGGTCCCGTTCTCTATTTTTCATGTCTAATTCCACACCCCTTGCCCTGTGTCCCCTTGGTGGCTTTATTATAGTCAGTTAACTTACAGGCAGGCTTCTCTATGTTCCCCTCCTCTGGTCTAGTTCCCTGCTTCACATACCCTGGAGAGCCAAGTCCTATCTTCTGCCTTTGGACTTTTCCCATCTCCCCGAGACTGGGTTTGCCAGGTGAGTCCAAAGACTGAATACTGAGAAGGGCACAGAAGTTAGGATAGAACAAGAGTTGAGGGACTTAGGGAAGACACCAAGCTGACTATTTGCCTCAGAGCTCTTAACTACAGGGTATGTGACTTAACATTCTTTTGTTTCTATTTTTTCGTTATTTTATTTTGTTTTGTTTTGCTTTGTTTTTGAGACATAGTCTCACTCAGTAGCCTAGCCTGGCCTGGAACTCACCATGTAGCAGAGGCTAGTCTTGAACTTGAGACAACCTTCCAGCCTTAGCCTCTAGAATGCTCTTTCTATACCTGGCTCTTCTGCAGTGACCTGGTTGAGGATGGGATGGGGAAGTGGCACATAAGTCACTCCCTCTTGGAGTTAAGGTTAAAGGGAACTGTTTTTCTAGTAGTTTAACAAATTGTATTTTGCCTTATCAATCACATGGTACCCAGTTGAGAGAAAAATATGTGTGTATGTGTGTGAGGGGTGTTATGTATATGTGGTGTTTGTGGGTGTGTGGATATGTGCATGTATGTGTGCATGTGTATGTGTGGTGCTGGTGATGATGGAATATTTATCAACCCTAACTCTGAGGAAGAAAATCCTCTGTGACGTTGACTCTTAAATTTCTCTTGCTGAAATTAAGCCCACCTCTTTAGCAGAGGTATTAAGTAAAGTCCTGGATTTGGCTCAGTGTCTTTTGTGAAAGATGTGTGTGTGTATGGAGGAGGGGAAAGGAAAAGGAGGAACTTAGAGAAGGGTAACGGCAGCTTCTGGCTTTGAGGAGAAGTAAGCCTTGAAGGTGACCTTTATTAACCTCAGGAGTGTTTGTGGGGTGGATGGGATGGGCTAGCGGGTTTTGCTCTCTGGTTCTCTCTCAGGGTTTCTCGGAATGCTCCTTTACGCACCTCCTCCCCTTGCAAGCCACTGGCTGCACTCAACTGCACTCAGCTACAAGTAACACCACAGTTAGCTTTCCCAGAAGGTATGCTCTCCTCTACCTACCGAGCCTAGCATCTCACCAGCTGTCTCTATTCTTCCACAACTCTTCTGCTTCTTTCTCCCCAAACCCAATATATTTCCCAGGTCCACCCTTTTTTTTTTTTTTTAAAGGGAGGTGGTGGTCTATGCTTAACTGTTTGAGAAAGGGGCTCTTTTTTTTTTTTTTTTTTGCAGGAAGACCCTCCTTCTGAGTATCTTACTAATTACAAACAGAAAGCCTGTCTGTGAAGGTGGTGTTCTTTGGTTTGGTGGAGGGAGTCAGAAGCTGGGGGGATTTAAAGTGCAATTTCCTGTACCTTTTTCATTTCCTGCTGGGGGTTGTGGAGAGCAATAAGCAAGGTGGGTGGCAAGGGCCAGAAGGTCTGGGCAAGTGGGGGATGGGTAGGGAGTCTTCCCTTCATACATACATGCCATCTCTTCTTCTCCCTGGCTCAAATGTCTTTGGAGAAAGGGACACTTGACACACAGAACCTGGCACTCTTACCGATGTCCCTCCTCCCTCCCTGAGGTAAGGAAACCCAGGTGGAAGAACTGGCAGATGATCCTGGAGAAAGTCTCAGAGATTAGAAGATGGGGCAGGAAGGAACTGTAGAACCCAGTCAAATCTCCTAAGGTTTCAGAGGTGGAAACTGAGGCCTGAGACAGGCCCAAGGTATGACAGAGAGAGGTGTTGTGGTTGGCATGTACCTGCCTCTTGAGATTTGTGGTTTAGTGTCTTTCTTCATGCAGGGTAGCTGTGGGTAAGGGTGAAGGTGTGGGCAAGTGTTTAAAGAAGAACAGTAAGATACGAGGAAGTGGGTAAGGAGTAGGAGCAGTACAGAGATGATCCATGCAGGTCCCGGAATAGCCGTTCTTTGGCAGGCTTTGTGGAAGAGCAGGTAAGCCTCACATAACACAACCTTTTGTGTGTTGGGTCAGGATGAGAGGAATAGGTAGGCACAGTGGCCCTTAGACTGTTAGTTAGTTCAGTGTTAGCTAGCCACTTTACAATCAGAGTTGGATGAGGTGGGGGAGGGGGTCACGGCAGAGGACAAAGGAGCCAATTATTGAGTGAGTGGATTAATTGATTAATTGTCTAGAAGCTTCCAGTGCTCCCCCAACAATGACATTCCCTCCTCTGACCCCAGTCAGGCATGGCCTCGGTTGGCCTGGATTATTAATTAGGGCTTGAAGTCATTTAACGATGATTTCATTATCGACGTGCTGTCTGTCTCGGCTCAGCCCGGTTGCCAGGGCGACTCTGATCGATTGCCTTCCGGTCTCCTTGGCGTCACCACCTTCTTCATCTCCCAAGCCTGGCTGTTGGCGGGCACTCCCCTAACGGTCATTTCTGGTATTGCAGTTTTCCTCGTTGCTAGCTTGCCAAGGAATAAGCCTGGAGCTTTCTAACAGAGAGTCAGTCTTTCAGCCTGTCAGCAGGCTGGGCTGGGCAACTATGGTCCCTAGGCAGATGTGCTGCATTACATGTGCTAGAGACCCTGGGGGTCAGAATCTTCTTCCCTTTGGATTCCTTGATTCTGCCCTCTGGTGGCTTTCTACTGATGCCTCTTTGGAGTTAGGGACTAAGAAGTAGGGATTTTAATTGTTGTTCAAAGCAGCCTCTAAATTTGCTCTGGGAAAATCGACTGGGAAGAAATTATTTCTGTTAATGGGAGACTTCTTGGACAATTGGCCATCATCACCCAGTATTTAGCCTCTTGCTTCTTTAACATAGCCAGGAAGAGGAAACGGAGATAATTCCTTTTATGTTGTCCTGTTAATGTTGGTAGTTTTTCCTGGCCCTGACAAGGGCAGGATGATCTAGCCTTTCCAGAGTTCACCTATTTCCTCAGTCTGGAGACAACCCAGAGCAAAGACAGTCTTCACAGGGCTGTATTAAGCCTTAGTTCTGCTCTCTTGGCTGTTTATTTATTTGGTTTTTGAGACAGAGTCTTTCTATGTAGATCAGGCTGGCCTTGAACTCACAGAGATCTTCCCCATCTGACTCCTGAGCACTGGGGATTAAAGACCTGTTCCTAGTGCTCCTGGCCTAGACTCATGCATGCACTCGGGGCTCTGAATCCCCAGCCTAGCCTTACTTCCTCCTTTGGTGGGTTTCATATATACACTTCTGGGGGCCCATTTCAGGAGAGTTGCTTGAGGGCATCGGTCATGGCTTCTCACAAGGTACCTAAGTGGTTGACTTCAAGGGGACAGCCTGGGGCAGGATGGGAGATCACATCCAGGCATAGGTCTCAGATTCCCCCCCCCCCACCCAGGTTGGTGCTGGCAGTGAGCCTGGGGGCGGCTGTGGCAGCAGCTTCACCCTATCAGCTTTCTGGGCACATCCACCACCAGGCAGCACCTGAGAGGGAACAGACTCCGCAGTGAGCCGAGTGAGATTGAAGAGGATCATAAAGAAAATATATATCCCCCTCCCTGGCCTCGCTCCCTCCTCCTGCCGCACACTTGCCTCCTTCTCTTTGTCTGCTCCCTCCCCCTCTTCACCGCAGCCCTGTTTTCTTTGTTCCGTCTTTGCTTCCCTCACCTTCATCTCTGTCAGGCAGGTCTGTTTGTCTGTCTGTCTCTCTGAGTTTTCTGGGATGACGCCTGTCATCCCACGAAAGGCCCCAAGAGTCTCTCTCACTGTCACTGTCGTCCTGACTTCCCTTACATGCCTTTCAGCCTCTGAATACAGGTCCCTTCCTATTTGTACTCTTTCATGTCCCCCATCTCTGTCTCATCTCTTACCCTCCCCTCCATCCTTCCTTCTGCTTCTTTCGCCTGTCTCTTTTAGTTTCTTCCCTCAATGCCCGCACACACCCCTGCGCGCCTCTCATCTTCCCCCACCCACCCCTGCAGGTCCAGATACTTCATGTGAAATCACCTGGATGGACTCCAGCTGTCAGGTCCCCCCAGTCCTGTACCCCCTTTCTCCCTGAGAGATTTATGGCTTCAACTCGGCCTCCTCTGCATTCTCCCAGCCCTGGGCCAGTTCTTTTCATTACCTGGTGATTATCTGGGGGCCCTGGCATTTCCCCAGCCTCCCACCCTTACCCAGCAGGCAGCACAGCATAGGGAGAAAGGGGAGAAAGGATTGTTCTTGGGCCCAGACGCAAGGACACAGAGACCCTCCCCCTGTGCCGCCCTCCTTCCCCTCCAGCAGTGCACATCTGGGAAAATCCCAGCTTGAGGCAGGGGAAGGCAACCTAGGGTTGTTGGAACAGACATAAATCAAGTACCTAGATGCCCCTCCCCTACCACCCTATCCATACAGCCATCTTCCAGTGCCTGCCTATTTCCTTTGCCTCTGAGAATTTGGTCTCTGCAGTCTGACCTGGGGCAGCTCAGCATCATGTCCAGGACGAGGAGTCCTTAGCTAATGTCCTTGATCCATAGCTAACTGAGAAGCTTAGGGTAGGGTCAATGTGGTTTATCAGACTTGGAGGTGCTGAGCCATGGGGAAATCTCAATTTGCTCTTAGTCCAGTATTCAGTCTTAGAATTAATATATGCTCTGTACCTACAGGTCCCATTGCCACTCTTCTCCCCCTCCTCTTCAGTTTTCCTGCATCTAATTTAGGGTTTAAAGGACTTCACAGGACTATCGTGTAAAGGTAGTGGTGCCCCGGGACCTATGGCTTCTTGATCCCATCTCTGCTGGGCCCCCAGTCTCTGAGTCAGCTTCTGTCCGGTCACAGTGTTTGATGGAGGCAATCCCTTTCTGCAGTCCCACATTTCAGGGATTCAGTCCTATGTTTTGAAAGTCTCCAGAGTAGAAAGCAGGAGGCTGTCCATCCAGGGACTTCTTTATCTGCTGCTCCATGGTGCTCAGTGAGGTTCTGTTGATGGATGCTCTGAGTACCCAGCGACTGTCTTGGAAGTCCTTGGTGAGGAAACTTGCACCAGCTCCCCTGAATTTTCTAGCTGGGGTGATGAAGATGTGGATGAAGGTCAAGCAAGCTAGTGGGAGGATTTGTGGGAGCAGCTAAGAAACTAGGTGCTTCTCTCCTAGTTTAGAGAACCCTGGAGTGGAGATCTTTGCTTGGATTTGGGACTGGCTGGCAAATCACCATAGACAAAGCTCCACCCCCTCCATTTTCTCTTCTAGCCAATCAGGTTTTCCTGGGACTCCTGGAAACTTTCTAAACTCTGTGCTGGCGTGCTGGCCAGTCTCCAGCAGGTAAGCCTCTCTTCCACCTTCACACTCAAACTGTGTCCAAGCCCTGTCTTCACCGCCTACCGAAGCTTTCCTCCTAGATTCTAGGCTTGCCACCTTCCTTCCCCAAATACATGCCTCAAAAGACACACCTCTCCGTTTTACAAACTCAACCTAGCATTTTTCCTCTTCAGCTCTTTCTTGTCCGTTATAGAAAGAACATGGGCAAATGAGTGATGTCTCCTGGTTCTGAATTGAGTGCTGTAACTGTAACAGAGAGGAGGGCTGGATCTCTGCAGGTCTGCTGAGGAGGAGATTCCATGGCTCCCTGGCAGAACTCTGGATTGGGGATACAGATCAGAGGGCTGTGAACCCGGGGAGGGCTTCCATTTGCCTAGGACACAGTGGTTTCCTACTAAAAATCAGGAGACTCTTCAGCATATCTAGTCCCAGGAAGATAGGAGGGAGGCCGCTCCTGGAGTCGCTTTCCTCTAGGATCTTTGTGTTTCATGCCCTTAATCTTGGTCTCTTCTTGATTTTGGTGTAAACTTTTCTGTTTTCATCTTTTCATGCAGGGACCAGCATGTGGGGATGATTAGAAATGTTCTTTGAATGAATGCTTTTCCTCCTTGGGTCTCCTGCTACTTTGTGTTTGGCCATCCCTCCTCAATTCAGAGTCTCAAACTCTCTGTCTCATCTTGTTTCGGGAGACATTGAACTGATGTGGACTTCGCACAAGACCAGCTCCACTTTGTCAAGGCCACCGTTGGCAGTGAGAGGAGATGACCTTGAAGCTTATCTCCGATAGATCTTGAGAACTGCCATCGGAAGTCTTCTCGTTCTTCCTGCTTAGTGAGGAGGCTGGGTCTATCCAGTAAAGTTTTTGGAAGAAAGATTACTAAGTTTCACCAGCACATGGCTGCCTGATAGTTTCTAGAGAGATAGCTTAGTGGCTGGGAGCACTTTTTGCTCTTGCAGAGGACCTGGGTTTGATTTCCATCACTCACATTATGGGACACAGCCATCGGTAGCTCCAGTTTTGGGGATCCAATTCCATCTTGTGATTTTTCATGGGCACCAGGCCTTCATGTGGGGCACATATATACATGAAGGCAAAGCATTCATACACGTGAACTAAACCTAGTAAAATAAAGCACACTGTGAAGGCTTGCCTTGAATACAAGTGGTTCTGTTCTCTCAACACAATCAGTTTTACATCTATAGCAGGTATATATATATATTGATTGATGAAGGCTTGGAGAAGAACCTGTATCTCCAAGAGGAGTTTGCTGCTACTACAGGATATACTCGAGACTCTTTAATTTCTGAGGACCTTGAAGTCTTCACTTTTTCTCTACCTCAGATGGGTGGATTAATACATGTACTGTTTGGATAACATCTCAACACCAGAAGTTCAGAAGAAACAACCATCCCTGTTTCAGAAAAAAACATAACACCTACTCCAGGCTGTCTCTGACTTTCCATCAGCTCTTGGGAAAGTTTTCTTCATTGCCAGTAAACACACCGTGTGTGTCTTGGAAGATGATTTTTAACCCCTAACTTTATCAAAATCATGTGGAAATCCCAATTTCCTAATATATACTAAGAAGTACAGGTTAATAACAAAGATCTTTGAAGGCTATTCTTTTTTATTTTTTAAAATGTTGTCTCTTTGTGCATCTGTGTGTGTATGTACATCTGAGTGTATGTGCACATGATGGCCAGAAGGGGGTGTCAGATCTCTAGAGTTTCAGATGGTTGTGAGGTACCCCATGTAGGTGTTAGGAGCTGACAAGATCATCAAACACTATTAACAGAGAAGCCATCTCTCCAGCCCCCCAATTCCATTCTTTGTGTTTACCCCAACCCCCAAAGTTGACTTTTTTTTTTCTTTTTATTACAGAAATCACAAGATAGATCAGGGGTTAGATAGAGCTAGAGAATGAAGATAAGGAATGTCCCCCAGGAAGCAAGACGCTAGAGACCCATTGTTGTAGATTGTGAGGCATGAGCTATTCGAAGGTAATTGGGTCTTGATTGAAGTCATACTTGATTATATTTGATAAGAACTCAGACATTTGAGGTACAATATACCGTTCATTTGATTCATGTGATCTTGTAGGGTTTTTTTTTTTTCATACTGTAAAACAACTTTCCTGTGAAGATGATAGGGTGCAGAGAAACTATATGGGGCTATGCGAGGAACTAAGCATGGTCTAGAGAGAAGGAGAAAAGAGACAGAGAACCAGCCTGCTGCTGACATGGAAACACCCAACAACACACTATGGTGCGAAGGAAGATACCTAGAGAGAAAGCTTACTCAGGGTGTTGTCATGGCAATGGGGAAGAGGTTCATATGAGAGGAGGCTGCAGGTTCTGACCACTTATGACTGTTAGTCTAGAAACAGACACGGGTTATGATGACAGACAGGACTCTTAGATGAACGTATACATTATATGTTATCTTAGTTAGGGTTTTACTGCTGTGAACAGACACCATGACCAAGGCAACTCTTACAAGGACAACATTTAATTGAGGCTGGTTTACAGGTTCAGAAGTTCAGTCCATTATCATCAAGGCAGCAACATGGCAGCATCCAGGCAGGCATGGTGTAGGAGGATCTGAGAGTTCTACATCTTCATCTGAAGGCTGCTAGCAGAATACTCCCTTCCAGGCAGCTAGGGGTAGGGTCTTAAAGCCCACACCCACAGTGACACACCTACTCCAACAAGGCCACACCTACTAATAATAGTCCCACTCCCTGGCTCAAACATATACAAACCAGCACATATGTTTAGAAAGAAATAGGGGATTGGTGTGAATAGTCAAGACTTACTTAGCAAGGCTTCTTGGGAAAAAACAGGTGTGGCTCAGAGTTCCTTGTCTACAAACACTCCCTGTGTTAGAGCTTTAGATTGGAACGTGGAGTGGATGGATGTCTTCCCCTGCCTCCCTCAGGATTATTTTTCCTGAGGAGATCTGGATTGATAAAAAGCTATGCTGAGAAATGGGAAGGGAGAAACCATGGACAAAAAGAGAAGAAATCCATTTGTCCTGTTGGCATCCTCATTCTAACCCCTTGATCCATTACATCCCATCTGGCTTTATCCAGCTCTGCCTGACTGGTCTGTTGAGAACTGAGGTAGTTCTCCACAGGACACTTGTTCTTTAGATTTGTCTCTTTCGATTTGTCAAGTTGACTGTCTTTTTGTTGTTGTTGTTTTTGATGGGACTATAATCTCAGCTATTCAGGGCATTGAAATCAGGAAGACCACAAATTAAAGCTATCTTGAGAGACACAGTGAGTTCAAGGCCAGCCTGGGCAACTTAATGAGATACTCAGCTGGGGAGGTAGCTCAGTGGTAGAGTGTTTGCCTGGTGCAAGGCCCAATCCCTAGTAATGATCTTTTCCTTCCAAAATTGGATTCTGGATGTAACCGAATCTCTTAATGTGTCAAATCATGAATGAAGAAACTGTCCTGAAGTTGTCCTCAAGGGTCTTAGAAACTATAAGTAGGGAGGGAAAGAAGCAAATCTGTTTTGCTCTATTTATATGGATCTTAGTTGACATCTGAATAGACTCTGTATGGTATGGATGGATATTTGGCGTGAGGGTTTCATGACCTTGTAATCCAGCGTCTGTGGGTTAGGATGGTGCTGTGACGGTGGCCAGCATGTGAGTTGAGGAAAAGCTTGTACTTCTGCTTGGAGAATGGCACAGTATTCCAGTCAGGGACTTGGTTACAGCCAGAACTGTTTACTGCAGAATTACGATTTCCAGCTTCACTACAAGAACACAAGTCAGCTTCCACCCAGAGGAGTTTTATTTTAGATAAGGAGAGCAAGTACTCTCTGAAGGAACATTCCAGAAGAATACAGTGAGAGGAAGTCCACAGGTCGGGGAAAGATGCCTGGTAAACAGTTTGGTGGGGTCATTCTTGAAGACTCCTAGGAGGAAAGCTTGAATATTTATCTCCTTCTGTATGAGCTGAGTTTAGCCATTCGGCTTTCTTCCCAATGGTTCAGGGAGGCCACCTGGGTCTCATGTCTCTTTCCCCAGAGACAGGTAACAGTTACTGCTGAAACTTGTTTTCTTTCTTCTTCCCTATAGTACAAGACTAAGATTTACTGTATTTTAGAGTCTAGATCTGCAACAGTATCTAGTTTGGTCTGCTTTTTTTTTTTTTTGAGACAGGGTCTCTCTACACAGCCCTGGCTGTCCTGGAACTCACAGAGATCCACCTGCTTCTGCCTCCTGAGTGCTGGGATTAAAGGTGTGTATCACCACTGCCTGGCCATATTAGTAGCTGTACCAAGTGTTTAAGTGGATCTTAAACATTGAAATGTGATTGAAAGAGCTGGTTTACTGGTTTAGAATGTGTGTAGAGGTTTTTTTTTAATTTAATTTTAATTTTTTTTATTTGCTTTCTTTTGGGTTGGATGGCCATCAAGAAGGAAGGAAAGCCTGTGAGGTCTGGTTGATTGGGGACAGGAGTGTCACAACCCCAGCCTTACACGGTCATGAAGATGCCACTTTGATGTTTCCCCAACTGACCTGAGGAGGTAGAATACACTCTTTAATAGGCCAACTCAGGTAAATGAAGCATTTGCTGTGTCTTCTATCAACTGTGATGTCACCAACTGCCTTACTGTTCTTGCTTGATTTATGATGAGTCTTTCCAATCTGTGGTTTATATATCTGCTGCTTATTTTGAAATACCCATGAAATGCTTTTATTTGTACAGTCGCACAGGAGAGAAAGTCTCTATTCTTTGCCATTTGTCTTGTGTATAAATAGGTACATGGTAATTTAGTAGTGATAATGGCAGTGCTAATTTTTTGGGGGGAGGGGAAGGGAGGGATATTGATTTGATTTAATGCCTTTGGAAAAATAATAATTTTGGGGGGGCTTAATTTTTCTAATTTAGAATTTGCCTGTCTAATACTCAATTGAAATCTGATTTTTTTCAATCCCGGAGATCAAACCCAAAACTCATGCATTTAAAATATGATTTTAATAGTTTGAATCTAGGTCTTATCCCTTGAAAACTTTTGGTGCAATCCGCTTGAAGGGAGCATAAACTGTATAGGAATCATCCAGTTCCTGTCTTTCAATTCAACCCAGTAATTCTCATTAATTACCAAATTAATGGGAATCCATCTGTGAGTTTGTTTACATGTGATATTGGGAAACTTGTAGCAAGTGCAGAAAACTCCCTTTGTGAGGAGCTTATAAAGGAGGCAGTTCATTTGTACTTCCCCATCCTTCCAAGTAACCGATACTCTAATATTCATTTGCTTATAGACCATATATTAATTTGGTTATAGACGATTCTTTTATGTTTTCCCTCTCTCCCTCCATCCCCCTCTCACCTCTTCCTTTCGGTTTCCCCACCTCCACCAATCCCAGGGCCTTGTGAAGGAGACAAGCTGTATTCCAGCCTCTTACCCCCTCCTTTCTCTAACACACACATTCACATCTTATGGAATAATACCAGGGCATTGTTACTGATTTATCTTCCAAATTAAGTAAAACAGTACAGAAGAAATTGAAGTGGTAGAGTCTGGGTAAGGGGTGTGTGTGTGTGTGTGTGTGTGTGTGTGTGTGTGTGTGTGTGTTTGTGTGTGAGATTTTGGCAGCTTTGAGAAAACTGTCATTTTCCAGAAGGAGGGTAGAGGGCACTCACACTTCAGTTATCTGGCACCAAGCAGCAAGCAAGAGAATTTGACACAGGGCTGAAGGCTGCTTCTGGGAAGGACAGCACTCTGAAGGATGTTCGGGTGAAACTGAGTGGATTTCATTGTTTTGGAGGCTGGGATAGTAGACAAGGGGCTGTCCCTAGATGTTCTGCATCTACAAACTGTAGGACCCTTCTAGAAAGACCTGGCTGAAGAATGGCGCTGTCAAGTCATACAGGCTGGATTGAGTGATTTCCCCCAAGTGTCTGCAATCAATGGTTGTTTTTGGAGGCTTCTTTGGTTTATTTTAAATTGTCATGTCGTATCTCCGAATATAACCAGGACCCTTACAGGTTGCTTTGTTAATCTCCTAGTCTTTAGGGGTGGGGGAGGATCTGAGACTTTCTTCTTTTTGAGATTCAAATGGAAAAAAAATTGAATCTTTATTTTCTCTATGACCCTTCCTGTTCGGGTCACATGTTCTAAATACCCATTATTTCTTAATCTCGAAGTCCGTGTTCCTAACTGACATTCAGTGGCGCCTGAGAGGTCAGTGTTGATGCCTGACATGTCTATGAAAGATTAAGAGAGTCTAAGAATGCCTTAGGTGTGGTGAGCTCAGGAGCTGAACGCAGGATTGGGCGGTAGAGGGTCTGCAGTTGATCCTTCTAATTTGGCCTCTGTTTGTCAAGAACAATCAGACCAGGGTGCTGTAGCTCCTATAGCTCAACCTTCAATCCCCAGCATCCTCATGCATCCTTAGTTCTGGAATGGGGTGACTGGGAAGGCTGGCATTTACTGATACTATGCTCTCCTGGGTTGGGGATGGGGAGAGTCTGTGTTTCTCTAGTAAACATCCCTCTCTCCCAGCTGCTCCTGATTGGCAGCCAGTTCTGAAGAGCAAATGGCCAAGTGAATTGGGAAGCTTAAAGGATGTTTTGTTAAACCATCCTCATTAAACTGGCACCGTCTGCCTTCCTCTTTGCCTTTGTCCCAGTTGGGGCCGTTCTTTGTGGCAGATGTTTCTTTAACAGTGTGTGCCAGCGGCATCTGGAAGCCTTGGGTGACTGCTGAGCTTTGGGAAAGCCAAATCTAGAGGTGTCTGGTTTGTCAGGGAAATCGCAACCACCTTCCTGCTACTGGGCCACCATCTTTCCAAAATGCCTTCCTCTCGGATTCATCCTTTGACAGATGCAAATTGAAGTTCCACTTCTTCCCCTAGCATGTCCTAATCTGGATGGGAGACTTTCCCCCTTCTTAGGAAGGAGATAGTTTGAGTTAAATGTTTTGGAATAGATTGGTGCAGTCTCAGGAGGGTTACTTATAATTGGTGTCTAGACATGTTTTACTAGAGTGCCACTAACCTGCAAGCAGAGGGAGATGATGAAGTTGGGGGGAAAGGCATTAGAATTAAAATCACGTGTGGGAGCTCCTGGAGAAGCCATTGGGGAGTCTTTGGAATCTCCTTTCTTATCATGGTCTGGAGACTTTTTGGTTTTAGATTGGTATAGGATTTAACAGAAGACCATTTAGGTGGAACTTTCTGTCTCTGGCCTATCTAGCTATTTGGAAGGAAAGGAACAATCGTGACAGAGGCTGTTCCTTTAATTGCCTTGTCTTTCAGCTATTACACACCCCTCCTCTTCCTTCTTTTCTGTCCATGTTTTTTTAGATAGGGTCTCATGTAGCCCAGGCTTTCCTGGAACTTAGTATGTAATTGAGGATGATCTGTGACTTTTGATCTTCCTGCTAGAACTACAGGTACACATCACTGTGCCCTGTTTGGAACTTCTGTATTCTCTGTGTAGGCAAGGTGGTGATACAGAAAGGATATAGGCTTCAAAGTCACACACACACACACACACACACACACACACACAAAAAAAACGGTTTCAAATTCCAACTATTGTTTGATTTTTAACCGAAGAAATGATTTAAGGCCCCTTGCTCCACAAAACGCAGTAATAAAAATAACAGTAATACTTACTGAGTCATTGCTATGAATCGGATATGATTTGAATGTGCTTCCCCGCAAGGGTGTGTGCATTGAAATTTATTGATTTAGTTTTTGTGTTTTTGAAGCAGGGTCTCATGTAGTCCAGATTGACCTTAAATTCGACACATAGCCAAGTCTGGCCCTGAACTCCTGACCTTTCTGCTTCTGCCTCTAAGTTTTGGGATTACAGATGTACCTATCACACTTGGTTCACGTACTGAAATTTAATCTCCACTCCGCTATCAAGAAGGTAGAGAATGGGGCTGGAGAGGGTGCAGCAGGCAGGAGTGCTTGTTGCATGAGCATGAGGCCCCATGTTTAAATCCCCAGCATCATGTAAAATTTTCAGGTGCAAAGCATGCCCACAACTTCAGGGCTGTAGAGGACAGAGAAAGGGAGCTCACTGTCTGCCAGCCTACTTGCTGGTTCAGTGAGAGACCATGTTTCAAAGGAATAATATAGATAGTGATAGAGCAGAGTGCCTTCTTCTGGCCCTCACTTGCATACAGAGTTGTGCACTTCATACACACATGAAAAGGGAGGAGGAAGCTTGAAAGACAGGCATGCAGCACACAACTGTACTCAGGACTCCGAGACAGAAGGATCACGAATCTGAGGTCAATGAATGAAATATAGAAAGACTGATTCAAACACTGTGAGAAGAAGAAGGAGAAGGAGAAGGAGAAGGAGAAGGAGAAGGAGAAGGAGAAGGAGAAGGAGAAGGAGAAGGAGAAGGAGAAGAAGAAGAAGAAGAAGAAGAAGAAGAAGAAGAAGAAGAAGAAAGATGTGAACTTAAGTGTTCAGAAAGGTGACTGGAAAAGGTTGTCATGGTAGACTCTAATGCTTGAATATGGAGAGCTTTCTGAGAGAGAAGCGGGGGAGGGAAAGAAGGAGAAGAAGAGGAGGAGGGAGAGGGAGAAGGAAGAAGAAGAGGAGAAGGAAGAAAAGGAGGAAGGGGAGGAGGGGAAAGGGAGAGGAAGGGGAGGAGGGGGTTAGGAGGGGAAGGAGGAGGGGGAGGAGAAGGAGGGGGAGGAAGAGGGGAGGAGGAGAAGAAGAAGAAGAAGAAGAAGAAGAAGAAGAAGAAGAAGAAGAGAAGAAGAAGAAGAAGAAGAAGAAGAAGAAGAAGAAGAAGAAGAAGAAGAAGAAGAAGCAGCAGCAACAACAACACACATGTTCTCTGTCTCCTGTTATGTGTACATACACTGGGACTGTGGACTGTGCCAACAAGAGGACCATCAGGAGAGCCAGTAGTGCACTGTTCAGACTTTGAGAACTGTGAGCTGAACACACCTCCTTCGTTATATAGTTACCTCACCTCAGGCATTTCCTCACAACCAACAGACTAACACAGCTGTTATGGTGGCTTAATAAAATGATATATGCACATTATTTGCAGCTCAAAAAACCCATGCTGCTTCCTGTTTACCTCCTTTCAAGTATCCCTAACTCTTGAACACATGCTTGGCACCTCTGTTTGTAAGGTAGTTTTCTCTACCTTCATCCCCCATACTGCTCAGTGTTCAAGCTCAGGCCCCTGATTTATTAATTTGTGTTAGTACTACAAAATGACAATAACAGCATGTATTTTTATAACCATATTAACATGAGCCAAGGTTGTGGTTTCTTTCCAGGCATTTTTACCTGCTGACAATTGGGGCTGTAAATCAAAGACAAAGGAGTTTCTTAGGCCACCCACTTCTCTAATCTAAAGTTCCTAATTTAGAACTTGATCATTCTGGGTTGATCTCACCCACCCCCCCACTCCAGTGAAGGCAAACTTGTTTGTAACGGTCATCTGTAGGGAGAAACTTTTCCGTCACTTTTTGTATTGGAGTACTACCCTTGTTTTCTTTCCAACTATTTAGTTTAAAAAATACCAAGCCTACAGAAAAGTTGCTGGAATAGTATTTATAATAAAA